TTCCTATGCAACTTATTTTGGGGCTGCCTGGTGAAAATATTACACTAGAAAATCCATATTTTACAACATGCATGCAATCAAATTCTCTATTCTATTCACTTTATTGTGAATTACATTACATTTCTAATTCAACAAACCACTTTGTTACCCTGGTTTACTTTTCTGAATTTAGAATACAATGCAACACCATAGTAGCTACAATAAAATGCAAATTTCACAAATACCAGCAATAGAATGAAAACATTGCTGTTGTTCTTAAGTGTCCTGGAGTTTGTTGGGATTCATAGCAACCCTGTATAGGGTTTCCTAGAAGCAGCTGGTGGATTTGAACCACCAACCTGTGGTTAACAGCCCAGTGCTTCTATAGTGCCACACCAGCATCCAAAAACGCATTAGCCAACCTAATTTGCTTTCTGTTAGCCATGAACAAGTCAACAAAACTGCTCTTAGAGTAAGTGAGCAACAAAGGATATAATAATTATGAGCCATTGTTAAGAATGCAATCACATTGATGATGATGATATCATAACAATCTTTCATTTCATATTCTGAAATGTATATAAATGTCAAATACAAATATTGCTCACATTTCCCCCCAGCTATTTCTATTACTACTGTACAAGTGATCTAAGTTCAACCTCTGAATCTTTTATTTCCTCCCTTATACTTTTTGTCAATATTATAGGATCATTATACTTTCAAAAATCATATCTATTTTCTTTATTGTTATATTTAAATTACAGAATTGGTTGGTATGTGCTTATTTTTAAATCTAATGTGATCTAAAACTTCATAAAAGTATAGTTAATATTTTAATCCCAACTCCAATATTCTGCTTCTTTTGCACAAGCAGTATTTAAAGTTGGTCTTGAGCATGATAACTATAATTGATTTTTCAACTCCATATTCAGGGCAAGCCTCCTTTTCTCATTTCCACTGCAACAACACTAAGTCAGTTCTGCATTATCTAAAGCACAATGTTTCCCATGTTTAGGTCTCTTCATTCTGTTTTACATTCCACTCTGCTCATGTCCACCATACTGATCTCATTAAGATCATGTTCTAGTTTGCCCTCAACAAGATGGACTGACAGAATGAATTCAAACAAAGCAGTGACTATGAGGATGGTGTACGTGATCACTGTAAGTCAGAACCTAACTCCTTAGGGCATACTGTTGCTATGACTCAACAGCACCTAACAACAACAACATTAAAAAAATCACTGATGGCCAATTGACATTCAAGGATTTGCTAGTTTGCTAAAGCACAGTAACAGGAATTTGGACTGGAAATTAGGAAAGCAAACTTATCCATCACTAATTGTTACCCTGGAGTCCTGGTGTGGTGCTGTAGGATAAGCACTGGACCAAAAAGGTTGGTTTGAACCGCCAGGCCAACCTCTCCTCAGAAACACTATACAGGGTTGCTATGATCAGAATCGACTAAATGTAACTAAACAACAACAACATCAATCATCAATTGTTACTCTGGACTCCTGGTGTAGTGCTGTAGGATCAGCAGTGAACCACAGGGTTGGCAGTTCAAAGCCACCAGCTTCATCTCGGAAACACCATACAAGGTCACTATGAGTCAGGACCGACTCGATGGCACTTAACAACAAGAACAATAATTACTTTACTATATCATAGTTTCATTCTTTATCTTTATCTATAGAATGAGGAATGAGTACATATCAAATAAAAAATTTGTAGCTGTAAAGTTACACAAGTCTAACATTAAAATTTCCATTATTTCCCTAAGTGTTCCCTGCTTTTCACTTCAATAAAACCATGTGCCATTTGACAGGAAATGATTATCTTGGTATTACACATGTAAGAATCTTTTCTCCTGCCATTCTTATGTGGATACAACACTAAACACTTACCCCTAATAAGATAGCAGCCTTATATCATGGTTTGGGGAAAAGTCTAGCCAAAGTGTTCCTTAGAAGCTAAGATGCCGAGACTTCATCTCACATACTTTGGACATGTTACTAGGAAGGATCAGTTCCTGGAGACGGACACCATGCATGTCAAAGCAGTGCAAAAGAGGAAGATCCTCAACAAGATGGACTGACGCAGTCGCTGTAAGAATGGGCTTCAATGTAGCAACGAAGGGAGAGTCTGGTGCAGGCCCAGGCCATGCTTTGTTCTGTAGTACACAGGTTAGCTATGAGTTGGAACTGACTCCACAGCACTTAACAACAGCAACCTCTTTCATAAAAAAAATTTTAATTCTCAAAGCATATGGATTTGCTTCTCTTAGCACTCTGGAAATCTTTCATTATAATGTTGCTATTTTTATATATAATATATCTTTATTTCAATTGCAGGTTCCTTAAGGGTTGTTGGTGTCATCAATCTTCTTCTTTAGTCATCCCCTGAACATAGTACCATGTCTTGTATGTACTTGGCACTCAAGTAATTGTTCAATAAATGCTATGACTAGAATCAGTAAAACGACAGAAATTAAGAAGACTTGATCCAGTTGATTAGGACACATTGACCCTTAGGGATGTTTACAATATAATGCCAGAACTGGCATTTATAGCTAATTATATATACATATATGGAGCTCTGGTAGCGTAGTGGTTACAAATCGGGCTGTGAACCTTAAGGTCAGTAGTTCAAAACTACTAGCTGTTGCATGGGACAGAGATGAGGCTTTCTGCTCCCGTAAAGAT